ATAGACAACTAAAGTCGTGTTGTCATTCTGTAGTTAGCATCATGCCCATATTAGGAAATCTGGGACTAAGCTGGTTTTCTCTAAGAAACAAATGAGTAATGTTTTCAAATATCACTGCCATCATGTTCTGTGGAGAACAGAAATATTCTAAAGTTGATAAGTTTTACTGTACATACATTTATTACTTCAAATATCGCTGGTTCCTCTGAATTCTGGGGCCAAAACATGAATATTGCTACATTCAAGGTAGCACTGCTGTGCACTGAATTAACAATAAAAGACCTCACAAAATAGGCCTAACCCATGCAAACCTGCAGGCTTGGTCAAACTGTGGTAGTTAAGAGGTTTTGGCAGTAGTAGAGTACATTTTGAGTAGCTGGTGTTGGTATATAGTGGTGATGAAGTTTAATAGTAGACTCACCTTCATGTGACGCCCTTTAACGTACAAGAGTGTTTGCTTGCTTTTAGCATGTATGTAGCATATAATTTGTATATTAACTCCTTAAAGACTTATACTTTTTGTAGGAATAAATTAATGTAGATAAGATAAATTTATATAGGACAAACATATCATAGACCCGGAGTTCCTAATATGGGTGTGACACTGTCTACAAAATGATGCATGACTTTAGAGGTGTAATTGTGTGACCTATCCATGCTCCACCCAGAGATGCATTCCTTAGATTTACATTACATTGGCAAAAATCTCATTTAACTAAATGAATTTAGCTCTGAGTGTATAGTCTCTACAGAGTTTCCAGTTTTAAAATGGACTGAACCCTAACAACATAGAAACGCAAAATTAATAGCATTTACAATTAATAACTCTCTAAATGTAAGTATTTAAACAAAAACTTACTGCACTACAGTTTCCCTTTAGGTATAACAGGACTGTTATCTATTTATTTATATTTTATTTATTCTGTAAAGCCCACCCCACCTAGCAACAGTAACGAAGAAAGAATACATTTGTGGGCTGAGATTGTATGTGGAGTCAGTGTACACGTTTGAGTCTAGTTTGCTAATTCATTAACAAACTTCAGTCTGGCCCCAGCGTTCAATGCATCACTTTTTCAGCATGAGATTAAAAGAATGCTCAATTTAAACTATTAGAGAAAAATAAAAAACATGCAGTCCAGTGTTACCTTAGTTAGAGATTGGATCTCGTTCCTGAGACAGTTGATTTCCTTATGTAAGTACTCAATCTCATTCTCCTTCACTCTCAATAACATCTGTAACACACACAGACAAGGGCGTTATCGTAAACTGTGTAATGAAAATTCAACTAGTTCTAAGGTAATTAATCATGACCGAGGATAAAAAGCTAACTGACCAAACCTTAATACTTTATGTGCCTTTTATCTGGACATGGCTTAAGCCTAAACTTCAGTGTCAGTGGAGAATTATTACTGGAAATCATTTATGGTCTAGGATTTGGCTTAATCTGGGTCTGGGAAACCGGCCCATGGTCTTTCAAACTATTTTTAACCCCTTAAAATTTTATTACACATTTCTATAGCCTAAGAATAGCCCAGCCAGTTTGCACTGACGTCTCTGTAGTTACTGAATAATAAGCCTTAGTATGTAATAAGCCTGGGATTTCAAGGGGATAAAGGGCTCATATCATGGAAAACTGATTTTTTGTCAGTTTTTAAATTTTACAAACTTTTGAAAGGAGGGCTTCAAATCTTTAACCTTTTTTTTAAAGAGTTTGATATCAGATGTAAAGATTCTGTTCCAGTTCATATGGTAATGAAAATCAAGCTGCAAAATCAGCCTGTTTTAAAATTGTTGTGATATCATGAAACCAACATATTAACAGTCATGTGAAGAAGTACACCCCATGAAATATCAGTAAGTATACATAAACATTATATAGTAGAACAAAAAACAGTGAAAATTTGAGTTTGCAATCATTTATTAAAATTGCAAATTAAATTAACTGAGATGTAACTGAGATGACATTTTTGTCTGTTGAAAAAGCAGGTGCACCCCTGGCCTCAGTAACTAGTACAGCTCCCTGTAGAAACAACTTTATGTAGGAGTTTCCTAAGACTGTCTACCAGTTTCTGACATCTGATTGGAAGAGGCAGAATTTCTCTGGTTTTGACCACTAGATGGCAGTGTCTCACAAATAAACATCCAACCAGCTTCTCCATCAGAGGAAGATGTCTGAATGAATAACTCCTAAATCTCAAACATGTTACGTAACCTAAAACTAGGCCTAACAAATTAGAACTTACTGGTAAAAGTGGTTCTTGTCCTTAAACAGCAATTCTGTTTAAACAAAAATCTAATTTACACAGTTTCCCCCCTTATTCCAAACAGATTCTATCAGCCAAGACATATTTGTTGTCTGAACTTTCCTTCTTTAGTTCTGCACTGAAGCTTTGAGGATAGCACATGCCTAAATCACGCTAACTGCATGTCTAAATTATCCCATACTCCTCTCAAACTGTCTGGTTGTTCAGTAATATCACATAGACTTGCTTATATGCTTTCTCACACTGTTTAACACACTGTTATACATAAACACAGGCGTAAGTGCATTAGCATAAGCTAAAAACAGTAGCAGCAGCCACACTGATGCTTGACTTTTTATAGATAACAGTACGTCATACAGTATCAGTTGCAAGTCTATTGGACATAACATCCTGCTGTGGTTTGAACCACGTGTGCGATGCAGTTAGCTAAGTGCTAATTAATCGCCTTAAGCTTCCATTACTTGTTAGCTACATTAGTCTCATAGCTTCAGTGCAAAACTAAAGAAGCAAGCTTCAGACACCAAACCTGTCTTGGCTGAGTGACTACATTTGGAATAATAGAAGAAACTGTCCTTTTTATTTTTGCCAAGCTATTGCCAGGAAATGCTGGGGAGTGAAGTCTCACAGTACATATTTTGGCCCAACTGTTGACCTCTCACCTCTAACTTCGAGGAACTGTGCTCATAACTGCCGATGGAGACGACCCCCGACTTTTGACCAGTGATGAAGGATCGCATGAGGCTCATCTCCTCAGTCAGACGCGCCTGCAGCTCCTGTATGAAGACGAAAAAGAAAATGACATCAAACCTGACAGACAGTGACACCTCTGATATGAGTAAGCCTTTTCACACTGGCCTGAGATCAGCCTGCACTTAAACTCAAGGTTAACCTTTGGATTGGCCTGCTTGGTCCTCGGTCAGTGTTGATGGGCCTGAGCTAAACTACAGTGTTGAACAGGATGTAGTGGTTGTGCTGACAGAGCTTAACTGCACTGAAGAATGATTACGAGTGACATCTGAGAAAAACATTATAGTGACAGAAAGTCTTTATCTGTCTCCTTAGAGCAAGCAAGCATCCTGTACTGAAATCCTGTACAGTCATTATACATCTGCTTGACACGCAGCACTGAGGAAAGGCACCTCAGAAGCTATTTATCTGTGCAGTAAGCATTTTGTTGGCTCAGAAAAACACTAATACTAGAATAAATACAAATAATATTAAAACATTATATGTATGGTGGTATGTTTGTTTCCAAACCTCTCCCGAAGAAAGCTTTAATTGTTGTTATCACTGGACACTTGGTATTGACAATCAATACTTCTTTATGTTAAGATCCAGTGTGCTGGCTATTTACACATTCATACAGTGGCTGAAGGCGTCCAGCAGAAACCAAACTTGCAAACTACCAAAGAAATCCCTTCAAACTACCCTCTCAAGATGTCACCTCCTTTTTGAAACAAAAAAATTGTTACCCTTTTCTGTATTTATGTTCATTTTCATATATTGCAATGATACATGGTCGGCCTTTTTAGCAAAAGCACACTTGACACTTAACCCAGATAAAAGGCTGCTAACAATGTGCTTAGGTGCTTTTGCACTTTTGCACATTGCTGTACATGAAGGCTACACATGTTTTTATTGCCTGCTTTTCTTGTTAAGCATTTTGAGCTGCTCTGGAGTATGAAAGGTGATACATAAAGTTTAATATACTTAATATATAAAAATACACTTTTATAATGCATTGAATTGTTTCATAAATAATCATAATCAATTTGAATCATGGTACAGTTTTAGAACTGATGATGGACTAAATCATTTAATTCAGTCTGAATTGTGGTATAATTTAGAATAATGATGCATTGGATCGCTTCATATAGGATCACAGTCAATTTGAAATGTTGGTACGGTACAGTTACAAACCCATGACCACTCATTTTGTTGTAATTTCCTGCCGAATGATCCATACCGTACCCGAGTGGCTGAGCTGGTTAACCTTCTTGCCAGCCAACCGTGCCAAACCAGAACACACGGGTGGAGCTACAAATGGTGCATGCCACTGACTACACTAACTAGCCAGAATCACTGTCTGTGACTCACATAAAACCAAATGCAGTAAAAGGAGCTTAAAGTTCCTCCATCGTTGCAACTGTAGTTTCTGTTTACTGTTAACACTAGTTTCGCAAGCTAAACAGAACTCCACCTACTTTCACAGTTCTGTTATGTGATAAGAAACGGACACAGGCACTTGACCAAAGTATGGATAGGTCTGCCGGGTGGAAAATGGCACTATTTGCTGCTGTCTTGTACCTGGTTCTCTTTGCGCAGCTGCTGCACCTCTCTCTCCTTTTCCTGGATCAGTGTGTGTTTCTGTCCTGCGGTGTGCTCCACTCGGCTCAGTTCCACACACCGCTGAGAGTACCGCTCAGAGAGACCCTCCAGCTCCTGCTGCAGAGACACAGACTCCGGCCTGAAAGCACAAACACGTCTGAATATCTGAACATCTGTTTGTTTGCTTGAACTTTATTTAGATCACAAATTCGCCAAATTCACATCCACATACATAAATACATAAACAAGTGACTACATCAGCAATAGTTACACAGCAGTACAGTTGTATGGAACAACGAGTGCCTTTGAGCAAATAACATTTTGTTGAGTATCTAAGTGAAAATAAGTGAACACATCCTCTACAGGGAACACACATCTGCACATTTTAAAGAAATATTACTCTTTATTTGTTGAATTTAACCTTCTTAACAATGGATATTGTGTGGTACAATCTGCAGAAAAATAAAAATCTGCAGTTTTTTCTAATAGGGGACGACTTTATTTATTGAGGATATTGAACAATACTTTGTAAATACTTCTTGTAAATACTTTTTGTACAACCAAGGATTCTGAGACTAGTGAACAACCTACTCAAATAACAGTACTGGGCAAAAGTCTGGGAGCACTCCTTATTTATTTAATTTCCAGTCAAAATGGCCATTGAGTATAAGTTCCTTTTTTTAGCACCAAGAAGAAAAGCAGAAAACCTGTTTAATACAGAAATATTAACAGCATAATATCAATATTTTCAGTATTCCATTCTTTTTTAAGAAATCTCCAGGTATATTTTTCTCCGAAGTTCAGTCTTAAAATTTGTTTTTTCCTTTTCTTGCTTCTCACGATCCAAACAATCCCAAACACATTCAGTGATGTTGAGGTCTGGACTCTGGGGTGGTCAGTCCATTGTTCTGAGAAACACCAGCAGCTCCTTTGTTTGATGTGTCTCCTTTTCTCAGTAAGAGCTTCTTAACAGCTACACATCCTTTCAGACTCATAGTGCTGAGTGTCTCACAGTGGAAGGATGGACAGAAACTCCTGTGGATGTTTTCAGATCTGAATCAACAGTGGAGCTTGATTTTCTCCTCTCTCTCAGAGATGAAAGCTTTAAGTGCTGTTTATCTGATGGGGACAGTTTTGGTGTCTACCAGCTCTTCCAGGTGGTTGTTAGGAGTCTCATTTTCTCTGTAGCTTTTAATCACTTTTTAATCTCCAATTCTGAAACTCCTGTTTTTTTTTTGTTTTTTTTTACTTATTTTTCTTTTGACTTTCCTCTTTCTTATGCAAGGGGATTATCTTATCTTATATCCTCACAAATATTTCCTGAATGAAGTTAAATTGAATAACTTGTAGTTAATGGCCATTTTGACTAGATCATTTAGGGTAGTCTCTGACTTTTGCACAGTGCTGTACCTATTTTTCTGAAGATAAATACAAGACACACACACACAAACACACGCACACAAACACACACACACACATACACACACACACCCATTATGGCTTATTCATTGACTGAGGAACAGATGTACGAGTTAATTGATCTGTTGATTGTTTGAATGAATCCATTGAAAATCAATTCACTGCTCATGCAGAACTTTTCAGTTACAAACTGGCACAACAGCAGGACATTCCTGATACATCAGCACTCAAATGTCCTCCACCCCCCCCATTCATTTAATACTTACTGATTATTTTTTAACGAACATCTTTCATTTAATGAGATTCTACATTTCCCTTTTCTATCATGTATCCTATAGCCTTGTGTGATTTACATGCACATATGGTATAAAGCACTTGCAGACAAAAAGAGAGAACATACTCTACAGGGAACAGCCTCAAATATGGCACTGAAATTTTAGTGCACAGTTTCTATTTGTTTCTATAGTTTAACTTACTGGAAAATACTAATATATAAAAATGTGCCATAACTTTTGCACAGACCACATTTGGTTGATTTTTTTTCACTTAGGAAATAAACAAACTTTTGCATATGACTGTACAGCAGACTAACACCTATTCCTGCCCATTCACACTGAAGTTATATGGAGTGCTTTCAGCCAGACTGCGAGCCAGGTAGGAAAGAAGACATTTACTAGCTTACTGTTCTTTTGGCACAGTTTTCAGGGTTCACAGTTTTTGAGGGAACCGCAAAACTTTGCAGGATCGTTGGAGCCTATACAGGAATAGTGCACTTGCAATGGCCTAGCCACCTTAACAACCACCAGGGATAACCTAGCAATGCTTATCAACATCTTAGAAATCACCAAGGATACCATAGCAATGGCCTAGCCACCCCTTAGCATTCACCTGGGATACCATAGCAACTACCTAGCAACACTTTAGCAGCCACCTGGGATACTTTTGAAAAGCCAACTTAAAATTGTTCACAAGTGTCCCTTTTTACTTTATATATCAGTTTGTTTTGGGGGGAGAGGAAATTTTTAACTGATGTTTTCTCCCCAGTTCAGTCACTGCCAGTTTGACTCACTAGTTAGGTCCCACCATTACACAATGCTGCCAAGCTGGGAAGGAAGGCCAGTATGTGCTTCCGCTAATGCACATGAATCACCACTGCATCTTTTCAAAATGCCTCTAATGCAATATCACTGAACAGCTCCACTGCTCATTCTCTCATGTTAGCTAACAGATGCCTGTTTTGGTTAGTATCATGCTGAGTGATGGGGGAGAGGGAGGACTATCCTGCCCACCAAGAGAGAGAGAGAGGACAATTATACTCTCTTGGACTCCCAGCTATGGATGGCTTTAGCGTTGCTGAGGATCGAACTCCCAACTAATGATATATGGGGTTCCATTCAGGAGTGTCTTAAAGACACAGTAACAAAAACAGCCTGTTCAATTAAAGGTATAAAGTGAGGTTGGAATATGGTCATGTAAAAATGATTTATGTTCTGTTTTTTGTACATAAAACCACAAAAAATTGAGAATATTTAATATTCTTATTATGTCTTGTATTGTTTTAATAATTTAATATCTATTTATTATCAGTATCCATTGTTTCTTGTTATCTTTTTGTTTGTTTGACTCTTGTTACATTTATTATACTCAGCTGCTACATAAATGAGGGCTCTCCTTCAGTTTAGTCTGAATTTAAATAAAGGTTTAAGTGAAAGAAGGAATGAACATTAATGGTATGTATTATATTAGCATGCACACTCACAGTAGTAGTGTGGAGTCTGTCTGTTGTCCTCCTCTCACTCTTTCCAGCTCTTCCTGATGGGCCTTCCTCAGAGCCTCCATGGCTGCCAGGAAAATGAAATACAAATGAAGAAGCAATGGAGAGTGAGAGAACTTTAATTTTACCAAGAAAAGTGCATTAAAAACATCTCATTATTAGAGGAAAGCAAGCAAAAACATCAATCAGGGAACAAGTATTTGAGAAAGTGTCAGAGAATAAGAATTAAAGAACGCAGTGGTCCTGATTCATCAAAGTGGAGCAAAAAAGAATGCAAATTAGACCACTTTTAATGATGTACGAACTGCTCTGGGTCCGACGATGTGGAAACAAGCAGAGATTAGAGCATAAAATGATTAATCTGCTTCAGTGCGTGAAATCAAGCGCAGGTGAACAGTACCTTATTTACATATTATTTGCATGAAGCACGTCTTAATTCATGCAGATGTTTCTGTAGGAAGCCAACAAAATGACAGCATTCAGTGGCCCATAAGCCAATGTCTGTGCTCATAGGCGGAGTTTGAGTTTGAGCAGTGAGTGTACTGCTTCCCCTGCTGACCAAACTTTATAGTGTTAAAATTACAACCACCAGAAAGAACAAAATATGAAGAAACAAAACATTTAAATGTTTTTTTAAGATGCTAGTATATAGTGTGATTATGTTCCTAAAATAACATATTTAAATGCTCTATTATTGCAGTGTATGAGATGCTTCTGCATTAGCTGTGTTTTGTATTGTTTATTTTATGGCACAAAAAGAAAAGTACAGTGTAATATATCTTTAAATGGAACACGGAATAGTTATACCAACGTGCACGTAAAACAGGTACATCCACTTTTGTACTGGACTGCCATGAGAACAAATTATTAGTAAATTATTTTCTATTTTTATTTTTAATATTGGTACTATAGATAATACTGATAATAGTTTTTATTAGTTAACAGCAAATAAAGTATTTTTTTCAGGTTGTTTTACTATTACACTCAAATTTACACACATTCCTACCAGACATGAGTTTGATCATACAGATATGCCAAAAATGAAACTGATGAGTAACAAAACTGCTGGTGAAATCTGCGTGCGCTCATTTTTCAATCAAATTTGAGTGTACCCAATTTTGATGAATAAGGGCCCTTGTGTTTGGAATGTATCTGTCATTCCTGGTACAGTTACAGCTTTGGCTGGTGATGGTGAAAACGTGCTGCAATGTGATATTAATGATTTCTCACTCATAGCCCATTGCAGAGAAAGTGTGTTAAAAGTGCAGATTCTATACTTTTAATTCAGACCACATTTGTTTTTGTGAGTAGAAGAGGAGATGTTTTATTGTGATTTGTAATGAATTTGAGGAAATTTGTTTGGCTAAAATTTTTGCCACATTTTAGTCAGTATAGATGACAGTATTCACCCTGTATGGCATTCTGTGCTTCCTCCTTCAGCAGCTGCTCTCTCTCTCTCTCCATCTCTCTCCTCTCTCTCTCGTGCTCTCTCTCCATCTCCTGCAGTCTGTCTCTGTGCTCTCTCTCTATTTGCTCCAGTCTGGAGGTGCAGGGTGCGTCCGGGCCGCAGGGGACGACGAGTCCAGCTCCGATTCTGCCTTTACGCAGAGCCTCAATATGCTGTCTCAGAGACAGGACCTGAGAGGAGTAGAAAAGTATAGTTGAGCTGAAACTATTCTGTTATTGCGATACAGAAGTAGCCTGTTTACACCACCCCCTAGTGGTGTACCCTTTAGCAACATCTTCTGATAATGTCTCTGGACACTTGGTCACTTTTCCCTCTGCTTTTGCAAAATAAAATAGTTTGATTGTCATTTCACCTTGCAAATTCAAGGCAAACTCATGTGAAGTTACTAACAGGCGTGGCACCAATCAGATACTATCAGGCTGACATCAGCAGAAAATGCTGGACCAGACATCAGAGAACAAAAGAATGGATATTGTATTTTAATTACAGCTTATTACTGTAAGCATACAGCAGAATACTGCTACATCACGGCAATCTTGTGGTCCAGGAGACTGTAAAATTGTTGTTGCTATTTTACTGTTATTTACTGTCACCTCCTTTCTGTACACCTCCTAGTTGCCATTCTGCAGATGGAATGGAAATCAATTCATCGGATTTTAATTTTAATTAATATAATCATATCAATTTGTTTTACTCAAATGATAATTAAAATTTAATTACACAATTAACATAAAGTGAATTTAATTCAAAACTGGACTGCAGGACCTCCAAAACAAGCTGAAACTATACTTTCTGGCTACTGTGCGAAAGGGGTTAATATGGGAAAGTACACTGACAGTAAACCCAACGTTTCTGTTAATATTGAATAAACTTGATATGTTTTTTCTTGTAAGATGTACTATTTGCATTTGCAGTGTGGTTACTGCAGCGTATGGAGATCCAACGGATGACACTGATACACTGTAATAGTGATAATAGTGTACTTTACTACACAGTGAAACAGGTTTCCCTATTTTTGAACAAACTGATATTTTACTAAAAGAATTTAAGCCTCCAGAAAAGAAATGTAACACCCAAATTTAATCAATGTTCAAATATTACTTAAAAAATATCTTTTGATGCTTAACTTCACTTCATCAGTGTATGTCAACTACAACTTACCATGAAATTAATTTGTTAATTATAAAAAGTAAGGCAACTAGTTTCCTAATTTTTTCTAAGAAAACTGAATTTCTACAGTTTACATTGTAGGATATAGAAGTAGAGACAGAAAAATAGGGCCCTGTCTTTCAAAGCAGGATTAAAGTTAGCACAGCCCACTAACTTTAAACTGAGTTTGATCTAATCCTGGATTTTCTGTGGATCTTTTTAACAGGCTACATCACCATGGCAACTTGTGCTGTGTGCCTGACTTGCTCCAGGGCAGGTTAAATTTGGGATTACGGATCGTAAACAACTCTTGGATCCAGAGGGCCAAACTTCTAGCAGAGGTGGACCCCCTCCGGTCCTTTTCAGACCACTTTTAAGCTCTCATACAGGGGCGGTCTTTGCGCTACGCAAAGGTAGTCAGCTGCCTAGGGCCCCCATGAGCCAAGAGCCCCATGAAAACACAAATTAGATATGCTGTACATGGTAATTTTAAACAACCTATTATGAAAAAATATATCGCGCTGTCCAAAGAAAAACAAGTATCTCCATAATAGTAACTTTACAGGAAAGGACAAAAAACATTCTTTACTTTCAATGTAAATTAATGTAAAGATATTTTATTCCAAGCAAATTGGGAGCATTTCTATTGGATTCATCACGAAATTTTCACTGAATGCGCCACCCCCCCAGTCATGGTTATAATGGATTATTCCATGTTGGTCTGTGATGACAAAACTAGGTAATTATGCAATAATCTACACTTGCACATTACTTCTCTCAAACTGCAATGGGATTACATTACTTATTACTTCCATAAAAAGTAACCTCACATTATTTCTACATTACTCTGTACCAAATTATCTCACATAATATGGGCAAAGAGTTCTTAAAACAAGCAAAGCATAAGTTAAATGTTATAAGCTTAAGTTATCATTTTCTTACAACAATCTCAAAATGAGAAATATTATATATATTGAATACATTTAAGCTCAAGATCTAATTTTTTGCAAGTAGACAGTTAATCCACTTGGGAGCCCAGAGTCTGAACTAATTTAAAAATGTGCATCCAGGAGGCCTCATTCCTGTCTCTTGCCTAGAAACCCAGAATCACTAAACCCACCCATGCTCTCAAATGACACCGCCTATTTGGTGTTTTCTGTGTAGTGTGTGGGACTGTTTCACTGTTTTTTGTTGTTTTGACACAAAAAACATCAGAGACACAGCGTATTTGATTCGCTACCTCTCTCTGTAGTGCCTCACTGGTTGCTGGTTGAGCCTGTGAGCCATTTGACGAAATCAACTTCATCTCTCCGAAAGGAATCTTCTCAAAATCCTCCCATTTCTTCTCAATGTCTGTCCCTATCAGGGTCTCAGAGATCTGTGGCATCATATGAGTCACTGAGGCCACCGTACCTTTCTTCAACTGCACTTTATCCCATGGGCTCTCGCCCTCTCTGTCCAAGAGTCCTTCCTGGAACCACTTAGTTCTGTCCTCCAGACGTTTTTCTTGCTCCTTATCTCGCCCCACTCCTGCCTCCCGCTGATTGGTTGACGGTGATGACATCATGTCCGGCTCATCCTGCATCAGGTTCATAACCTCTGAACCCGAATTATGTTGATCTGGATGTGAAGGAGAGGTGTCCTTATCGCTGTCACTGCTGTTCATGTGCCTGAAAAAGAGAGACATTCTATTGCTAAAGTTCTTCACTTTTTTACAATAAGATCAGCAGTTTAAAGGGTTAATACTGACTGTCAATCTCAGTGTGTACAATCCCATTTCCAAAAAAGTTGGGACGCTGTGAGAAATGTAAAAAAAAACAAAATTCAATGATGTGCAAATCCTTAAACCCTATATTTAATTGAAAATACTTCAAAGACAACACATCAAATGTTGGAACTGAGAAATTTTATTGCTTTTTGAAAAATATATGCCCATTTTTAATTTGATGCTAACAACACTTTTAAAAGAAGTTGGGACAGGGGCAACAAAAGGCTGGTAAAGTTGTGTAATGCTAAGAAGAACACCTGGTGGTTAATTGGCAACAGATCAGTAACATAATAGTGTATCAAAAGAGTCTTTCAGAAGACCGTGTGAAAGACTGCACAATCAAATAGTGCAACAATTCAAAAATAACGTTTCTTAACATAAAATAGCAAAGAACTTTTGCTTTTCATCATCTACGGTACATAATAACATTAAAAGTTTCAGAGAATCTGGAGAAATCTCTGTATGCAATGAACAAGGCCAAAAACCAGTATTTGCTGGACTGAGGTGAAAGAGGAAAAGTGTCCTGTGGTCCGACGAATCAACATTTAAAATTCTTTTTGGAAATCATGGACGCTGTGTCCTCCGGGGTAAAGACCACTCAGCTTGTTATCAGTGCGCAGTTCAAAAGCCAGTATTCATGATGGTATAGGGGTGCATTAGTGCACATGGCATGGCTGATATGCGCATCTGTGAAGGAACCTTTAATGCTGAACGATATGTACATGTTTTGGCAACATATGCTTCGTCTTTTTCAGGAAAGAACTTGCATATTTCAGCAAGACAATGCCAAACCACATTCTGCATGTATTACAGCAGCATTGCTACATATTAAAAGACTTCATGGGCTTAACTGATCTGCCTGCAGTCCAGACCTGTCACCACTGAAAATTTGGCACATTATGAAACGAAAAACATGACAAAGGAGACCCTGAACTGTTGAGCAGCTGAAATCCTGTATCAAACAAGAACAGGAAAACATTTCACTTTCAGAACTACAGCAGTGTCTCCTCAGTTCCCAAATGCTTACAGAGTGCTGTTAAAAGAAGAAGTGATGAAACACAGTGGTAAACAGGCCCCCATCCCAACTTTTTTGGAATGTGTTGTTGGCATGAAATTCAAAATGGGCATATATTTTTCAAAAAACAATAAAATTTCTCAATTTCAACATTTGATTTGTTGTCTTTGTACTATGTTCAATGAAGTATAGGGTTTAAACGATTTGCACATCATTGAATTTTGTTTTTTATTTACATTTTTCACAGCGTCCCAACTTTTTTAGAAATGGGGTTGTACATACTGAGAATGACAGTCAGTATTAACCCTTTAAACTGCAGACTTATGATTCATTATTAATGTTAAGACTATTATTCAGTAACTACTACACATTATTCAGTAAATATAAAGAATTATTCAGTATCTACTATAAATTATTCAGTAACTACAACACTCCTATGCAAAAGTTTGGGCACCCTGATTATAAACTAAATACTTTGTTGTTTAGATAATCAACAAAACATGTAATTTGACAGGGCATATAAGATTTGCATACAGCTGCGTATATTACTCAGTTACTGGAATTAATAATTCAACTACTGTAAATAATTCAGTAACTACTGAACATTAATCAGCAGCTACTGTAAATTATTCAGTACCTACTATATATTATTCTTTATGCAGAATAATTATAGCTATGATACATTATTTAGTAACTATACACGAGATACATTTTTTTGGAAATACAGAATTTCTGCAGAATTAAAAGCAAGAGATCTGGGCTAAAATAAATTTTACACAGTTTACCCCTTACACCAAATGTAGTCGACCATCCTAAACATGTGTGGTGTCTGAGATTTGCTTTTTTAGTACAAAACAAATTAAGGCTTCAACATGGATGCTGTTACTGTTTCTTGCTATGCTGAAGTACTTCGTTTTGTTTTTTATGGACACTGTATGCATACAGTGTAAATAACCACAGAATAAAATCTATTCGAAATTACTTAACAACTCAACACAGTTTAGGATGAATGTATGATGATTTAGGCATCCAGTTAGCACCATGCTAATTGGGGTCTATAAGTTTCCATTACTTGTTGGCTACATTAGCCTCGTAGCTCAAGAAGAAGCAAACTTTAGACACCAAACATGTCTTGGCTGAGTGACTATATTTGGGGTAAGACGGAAAACTGTAAATCTGATTATTTGCCAAAACAATCACTTTAAATATGATATATTTATTTTATGATATGAAGAAGGTACTACACACGCTGTGATATCAGGTGATCCAGTGGATCTGATGTGTCTCTGCAGAATGTCGATCCAGTTCCTCCTGATGCGTGAAGTCATGGCTGATAAGGTTACTTCTCCGTCTTGTGTCTGTACGCCAAAAGGTCATCCATTTACAACAGTCAGCAAACTGAGGGAAATCACTAAAATCAGTAAAATCACTGATCTTCAGTAGGAAATTAGCTCCTTCAGTGTTAAACTAACATCTTCAGAACACCTGAGTACACTAGCATTCAGAGTGTTTAAAAGATGGTATTCTCCAGATATTTGAGTAGTATGGCATGAAAACATCCACAATTTTACATAAACACTAATCACGGCAAAGTGTTTAAGGTAAAAATAAATTCTTACATGTATCTGGAGACCATAGTTCTTATCAGCCTCAAACTCCACCACTCTCACACAACGACGAACATCAATCTCTCCATCTGGCTCATCCCTCTGTTACACATAAAAACACAATTCTGTTTATTTGTCTGCATCCACACAAGACAACAGCAGGAATCGTGGTTTAATTACAGTTATATGCAAAAGTTTGGGCACCCCTGGTCAAATGACATTTTGTTGATTTTCTAAGTGAAAATAAGTGAACATGTCCTCTACAGGGAACAGACTACTGCACATTTGAATGCACAGTTACTGTTTATTCACTGAATTTAACATATTGGGAAATAATAAAACAAAAAATGTGCCATAAAACATAAAATTTTGTTGTTTTTGTCAATATGTTTTAAAAACATATCTAAAATTTGTAGAATGTCATATTTGGGTGTGTTTCCTATAGAGGATGTGTTAATGTATTTGCACTTAGAAAGTCAATAAAACATTCAATTTGCATACAATTCTATACTGCGTACAGACAGTGACATAATTCAAGACATAGATAAAAGCCCTATTAAGTATAACATTATTAAGTCAGCAATATCTTTAGGTCAAGCTGTCCAACTTGAAAGTCTGGCACAGATTATTTAGGCCTATGCCAAAAATACCTTCACCTGGAAGAACTTATACACTATTTGTCCAAAGGTCTCCAGACATCCCTTCTATTTATTAAATTCAGCCACTGTAACCTCTTTCTGCAGGCTTAATAGACTCACATAGTTTAAAATCAATATCATAAAAATCAATATCATAAAAATATTTCACTGTAACTGATAACTGTAATGTTATCAGATTAACTACGTCACTGTTTGCTCTCTGTGTTTGAAATGCTCTGACTCTGTGTTGAGCCACTAGCAAGCAAATGTGGGTGAGATGGAGAGGTGAGAACCCCCTGCTGTGAAAACAACACTCATCACTCCACAAAGATGACTGTGCTGGTGTAAAACAGTCAGCAAGACTGCAGTTTTCTTGATATAAAAAATTGTCTGTCACAATAAACAAAATGAAACAAAAAAAACTTGCTTGTTCACCTACAAATATGAGAATTTTGTTCACTTTCAGTTTGTAAATCATACACATTTCCTTCGAAATACATTTTATCTAAGATACCAAAGAAAAAAAAGGAACAGTTCAAGTGAGGGACCTCCAAGAATGGCACAAATTGCATTTTTTGGCCACTGTGAAAGGGTTTAGGCTGCACTCATTGCTGACTCAGGCATGCAATTGCGCACAAACAGCTACTAAAATCTTCATAGAAAAGTGCCGAGCATTGGGTTGTTGAGCAGTGTAACTGCGTTCTTTAGAGTGATGGCGCTATATCCCAATACCTTTGGGATAATAATAATAATAATAATAATAAGTTAAATTTTTACAGCACCTTTCTCAAACCCAAGATTGCTTTACAGAGGTAGGAAAAAAAATATGATGGAGGCATGAATTCAACTGATCCAGAACTAACCATCCCATATCAGTACCTGACCTCTCTAATGCTCTTGTGGCTGAATGGAATCAAATCCTCACAGCAATGTTCCAACATCTAGTGTAAAGCCTAGTGTAAAAGGGGGGTGGGGGTCTCCCTATTAATACCCTTGATTTGGACAAACAGTGTATATACTCACTGGCCAGAAAATGCCCTCTTGTCCCACTTTCACTTTCAGGGAAAAATTAATGAGATTAGCGGCTCAGAGCTACAGTACCATCTGCTGGACAAAACCTCAGTTGTGCTCCTTTAGGGTGGTGGTATTTCTGATTAGGATGGATCTGGCTCACCTCCTCAGATTCAGGGTCAGTGTAGTATTTTAGTCCAGAGTTGTCAAGCACAAACCAGAACTTCCTCCACTGCACACAGAGATACAGAAAGAAATTAATACATACAATAAATGCTAATACACAAATGTTGGCTAGAAGAGTTCAGTACTTTTCCAATCCATTTACACTGCAGATATTGGTGGACATGTTTGGACTGATACGGAGACAAAACATGATAAAAACTGGTTAAAGATAAAATTAAGACAGATAAAAATCATCTAGCTACAATAAAAAAACACACTGCACATAGTAGTTGTCTTTCTTTAGTTGTTTGTTCTTTTCAGACAAGCTTGGCTGCAAGCCTAAAGTGGGTAATTAGTGGGTAACTCCAACACTGAAAGCAGCATCCTGGCCTAAAACTAGAGTTTATTATAGAGTTTATTATGTTATTTGTCAAGTTGTGCAGTATTCTATTACATCCCTCAGCATAATCAGTTTGACAGGATTTTATATTGTTTTATATGTTTTCATTCATCAGTGTTTTTCCATTGTGATAATACAGAGTACAACCTCTGGGAATCCCTGTGGTACCATCCAATCCTGATGGCTAGCCTAGTTACTAAACACTAATAAATATAACCAAGTGAGCAATAGTATTGCTTTTATCTTGGCCACCAAACAAGAAAATAGCAATTCTATATTTATTCAGCACAAAATGGACACCAGAGACAAGTTTTCAGTAAAAGTCAAGTTTTCAGTACAGTCATTTCTGTCGTTTGAGTCATCCATTCTTTCCATTGTAATAATGATTCCAAGACTACACTTCAAGTTACTACAGTTAAAACACATTCCTTCTGCGTTCACCAGCTAGGACTTGTAAAAATCCACCCCAAAGCACTGTATGTTTCCATCTACCTTCAAGATATATCATCAGAAGGGAGTTTTTCTAGCATTTAAACCAGAAAAGCTCACTCTAGGGACTACGGCAGCACCAGCAACATGCGAAATAACGGTTCTGGATGGTCCAGGACCCCCTATATAACGTCTTGGACCCCCTCAATGTCTCAAAATTAAAATTCTGGGGGGTGTCCCTGAAAACTTATGATGTTATGCTGTCTGTTAGGGAAAAATAGAGACTCAAATACACATTCAGGGAAAGGTCACTGTTTAGCTGTATCAGCTTCTGTCTTTGATATTCTTACTAGAGATGCAGCACTGGTCTGCCTCAGGGTGGCCCTGCAGCAAATTGGTTCACCCAGTTGGTCCTTCACAGCCTAGCAACTGTAACCATGCTCGAGACACCTCTGAAAAACTTCACAATATGCTGTTCCATATTTATAAACCTGAAAACTTGCCCAATTCCCCAAAAGATTGGTGGAAAGAGTGAACTGTTACTATTTTCTCAAACTGAAGACAGAAGATGGAGGCGTGTAAGATCTTAGTTCATGTGTGGAAGACCTTTACCAAACTAGAAAACAGCAATAAGAGAAGAAGAATTCTTAAAACAAACATTTTGTTGTCACTGAAGCTAGCATCAGTGCTACTATGGCGAGCCCACCAACATCGGACCCCCGGACTAACACTGGGCACCAGGGTTGGACGCAAGTGTATTTACAACAGACATAGCAATGGTTACATTTTTCAGTTCGGCCAAATTGCCACTTTAAATTGTGATAAGTTATAAAACATATATATATATATATATATATATATATACGTGTGTGTGTGTGTGTGTGTGTGTATATACTTTGTAGAAGTATGTAAATACAAACGTGCAGCTGTTGCCATGGAGACGGTCAGCGCTGGCTAACGGCCGTTTGCAGTTACGCTAAGTTTCGCTAACGAAACAAAAGTAAGAAAACACCTAATTTCTTCCCTATTTTCGATTAAATTCTTTACACTTATACGAACCCCCCTTAAAAACACAAACAAACATAAAAACCCTGTATTTCACCTGAAAAGGATTCTTTTTAGAGATATCTCTCTTTTTGGAGATAAAATCACATCACAACTAAAATGATAGATGAGTTAAGCTGACAAACATTGTACAGGTCACGTTAGAAAGAATAAAAACGTACCTCCGCCGTGTCGTCCAACAGGCACATCCATCCCTTTTTAAAGTCCAGAGGGTCAAGCTTGAACGAAAGATCAATAAACGAGTGTTACACTGAGTCTAACTTTTAAACGTTTTACCTTTTAAACCCCAAAACCCTCTCAAACGACATCTTAACACCGCTGTGAGGAGGAAAGTGGCAGTTGGCTTCAGAATCCTAATCTCCTGCACGAGACCTGAGAGTGCACGAGGCGCTGACTCTCTGTGCTCATTTGCATAAAACTTTATATATATGTATGTATATATATATATATATATATATATATATATATATACACATATATACATATATATATATATATACACACACACACACATATATATATATATATATATATATATATACACACACACATATATATATATATATATATATATACACACACACACACACATATATATATATATATATATAATATATATATATATATATATAATGCTGACTCTCAGCATATATATATGACCTCCGTTAGGGTTGGACTTTCTCAGCTGTATTTAGACGACGATATTTTATCATTATCGTAATAAATTTATATATAATATAACTTAATTTAGTGCAGTAGTTTGTAAAAACTAAATGTAGTTGTAGGTTTATTAACGTTATTATTATTGTGGTATTTTTATATGTGGCACCGCAGGCTCTATTTTGTCTGTTCCAACTTATTAAATCCCAGAAAAAAAACTAATTATCGTGCTGCATATCATATATAACGAAACTGTCTTGAAGTATCGTGACATAATATTTTTTGCCATATCGCCCATCCTTCGGTTTATTACATATTTTAAATATATATATATATATATATATATATATATTATATATATATATATATTTATTCGTTTATTTTAACTGCAGTGTAAATACAAACGTGTGACTGTTGCCGTGGAGACGGTCAGCGCTGGCTAACGGCCGTTTGCAGTTAAGCTAAGTTTCGCTACCGAAACAAAAGTAAGAAAACACTTCATTTCTTCCCTATTTTCGATTAAATTCTTTACTTTTTCGGAGTGCAGATGTCGCCAATGTTATTCTCCTGTTAGCCAACCGCTGGAAAGCCAGAATAAAGGTAATTTATATGAGAGCAGATTTGAAGGATTTGCAAGTGTAACTACTAAGAGTTTATGCAACGTAAATAATGTTAATTAGGGTTAATATAAAAGTCTGACGTCTTTTATTGTGAAACCTACACAATGTAAAGTGTCCCTTAACGGAAAACTTAAGACATTTCATACAACCGAGCACTACAACATAAAAAATCTGTTTAATTTAAAAAGTAGGTCAGATTTGTGCTGACTGAATACCAAACAACGTCAGGCCTGGGTAAACCGGACAATAAACGGTCCTGTATATTTAAATTCTGAAGCTCAAGGACATCATTAAAATCACACAATGCGTAAAATAAAAAGTTTTTAAGTTAAAACTTACAGTATGCAAATGAAAGGTCGCGTTAGACACGCCCACTTCATCACTCTGTACCACATGCACCACTTAGCTAGGTTACATGAGCACAATGTACCAATGCCACTCTATCACTGTATTACTCCCCTTCTCTGAAACGAATCGTTTATTTGTGCTTTTCTTCTGTTTAGGCGGCTTTTCAGGAACTTACCGTCATTGTTGGAGGATGTGAAGCCGGTGGATGGCGTGAAAAAGGAAGAAAAAAACTTGTCAGGCAGTTGAACCAGTTTCCGTGGTGAGTCTACTGTATGAGAAGACTCATACTAGTGCATCTCTCCCGCGATAGAGCTATTCTCGTCCGGCAACGTAGAGCTGCTCCAAGGTGCACAGGCACAAACAGGCCCGCCTCGCTGTCTCTCAGCGAGTCTTACCGGCTGTTCCGTGAAAATTCGTGCAAGTTAAAACTACCAGTTCTCTGTTTGCGGTCTGACAGCTGGTCACGTGATCCTTACTCAGTTTCCGTCTAGTTTAGCGCCGGCAAGAGACATTCACTGAAGATGGAGTGCTGTACACTGACTGACATAAACCTGCTGATTTCATCACAGTAAATGCTAAAAGAAGGAGAAACGCCTGTGTGGAGCTAATTTCCCCGTTGCAGGCCTGGATACAGGCTCCTGAGCTAGAAACTGGACACCACTACCTACCTCCTACCTAGGGGTTGCGTTTTGTGTGTGTCTGACTCTCTTTATGTTTGTTTTTAGCACTTTGTGAGGACCAGCCTGAAAAGTAAACGTGACAATTTTGTACAAAATCAGAAAAACAGGTACTAAACTGTCACTGGGATGGGACCCTCATGTCTCTAGGGTGGTACCTCAGAGGTCCATCTTCTGTACCTTTAGTTAGGGAATATTACTGTATCATATTGGTTTTGGAATTATTAGTTTTTACACTGTTAGAAATAAAGGTTTTGTGCAGGTACATTTTTCATTCATCAAGGTACAAACAATGTTAATGCACCCTCTAAGGTACAACAGTGGTTTTAAGGTCGAGTTGTGTTCCTTAAATAAGCTTTTCCAGGTGAAAAGTACATATGTGTACCTTTTCATAACCGAATGTTTTAAAACAGAACAATAAAATAAAAAGCCTGGAGACGAGACGGGGTGTGTGGAGTCAGTACAGCTTAGAAAATATCATTTCAGTGGATTACGGTACAGTTATGTTTCTCTGACTAAAGGTACTGAGATGTACCCTTGAGGGTCCCACCCCAGTGACAAGAGGGCTACCACACCAAAGACAGTTTTTACATTTTTTCTGTTATATTCACTCCATACACCTCGTCTTGAATTCAGACTCTTTATTTCATTTTTATTTTTAAAAGTTATGTTGTGGATAGGTGTCATTTTCCCCTGAATGTACTGTACTGTACATTTAGAACTCATTTAAGGCCTTAAGAATCGCGTCCTGAGAAGAGTTGCGTAACTTTATGTTGTTTGTACTTTGGAAGACTAAAAAATGTACTTTTTTTCTGACAGTAAACATGTGAGGACTTTTGCCTGGTCCTCACAAGAAAAACTGAACAGCTTCTGTTTTTTAAAGATAGCCTTTCTTTGCTAACAATGAAGTATGAGTAGTAATTCAGAGTGGTTTGATGTTAAATGGTTCATAGTGGAGAAACTTACTGACTCAGATTTCTTTACAGTGGTGGTGATAGGACCCAGGGGTCACAATGTCTACAACACAAATATGGTCATTTTATTTACTATCCGACATAACCAGTGAACCTAAACTTTAAAAGTAATGTTGATCAGGGTAAAATAGTTGTAAATTTGAAAATAAACATTTTTTTTGTTACTACTTTTGCCTTACAGTGGCTGACATGTAGCTCATCACTATGAATGACTTTCAAAAATCTTATCTCAAACTATTGTAAAACTGTTTCAGATATCAGGCAACAATTTTGTAGCTTCCTCATGCGCTAACCTTTTGTGATGTAGCTTTTAGAGGTAGTAATCTTTAGGCGTTTGGTTCCTATCACCACTACTGTGAACAACTCTGATTCTGTACATTTCTCTAGAATGGCGTATTTCAGATCAAACCACTCTGAATGACTTTATCCTAGTGGTTTAATTATAAGGTCGGGGTTAGGTTTAGATATAAGCATAGCAACACTCGGCTATGGTAACACACGTCAATGGAAGTACTTAATTTTTTTTCTACCATAATAATTACAACACACCTGAGTATGTGTGCATGTAAAGTACGTACCTGCATCTGAGGCTGGTCACATTGTTTTCCCTCATGTCTGTTTGCAGTCCTGTGATCTTCTCTGGACCTCTGCAACCATGAAAAACAATTAAAAGAAAGCTAGGAGAGAAACAATTCTAACTCAGAAATGCAGACTTCACTCCTGCATTTGAGGGTATTAAAGGGGAATCCCTCTGATGTTTCAAAATTTCTGCATAATTAAATAGTTAAAGTGATAGAGTGATTTGATGTGAAATGCTCCACTTTAGAGAAACTTACAGTCGCAGTTGTTAACAGTGGTGGTTATAGGAACCAGACATCAGAAGGACACTAAACGGTTATAAATACTTTATACATTACTTAATGATAGTTTCACGGTAAGGTTTTGATCTAAAATGCATTTTTAAAATCCATTGATGGCAGAAAGGTATGTGTAGAGCCTTGTAAGGCAAAATAGCACCCAAAGAAAACTTTTTTCAGATTTACCACTATTTTACCATCAACAACCATCAATTTTACCATCAATAACACATATAAAAACAAAGAAGACAGGTGTAGGTTCACTGTTGATTTTGGATAGTAAATTAAATGGCTGTATTTGTGTTGTATCACCACCACTGTAAAGAAATCTGAGTCAGTAAGTTTCTCTACAATTAGATATTTCACATCGAACCACTGTGAATGACTTTCTCAGCAACTGAATTATGCAGAAATTTTAAAAAATCAGTGGAATTCCCCTTTAACCTCACCATGATCGATGGCATGCTTTGAGTGGTTTTCTCTCAATCAAATACCACATAATATTATTGCAACTTTATGCAGAGGAGGGAATTGCTCTTTTGAGAGAAGTGGCATGGTGAATACCAGCATGAGTGCATTTGTAATTTACATGGACTCTTTTTTTACTGATAGACACTGGAAGTGATGTTGTGAAAACAAAATATGCTCTTGAGAAACCTGTATAGGGCCTGAAACGGTGCTGTTGGTTTCAGAAGACCCTCCTGTGTCCTTGTCATGTCGTCTCCTCTCTCTTTCTCTACGGTCTCTTCCTCTCTCTCTCCCTCTCCCTCGTTCTTCTGGCTCTCCATATTCACCTTGGCCTTCTCTTCCTTCCCTGTAGCTGGGACAGGGAAGACATGATCAAGAAAAAAAAAACAAGAAAAAGGATATTTTCTAGGCAATCAAATATTGCTTTAGATCTCCTCTGTCTGTCTCTCTTTGTCCATCTGTCTCTTTCTCTCGCAGGACCTTCAATAGGTGCCCACAGCTAGGCTATCCGCAGTGAGCTAATTTGCTAGCTAGACTCTTAAAAAAGATTCATCTTTCTTCAAGGGTTCTTTAGTAAATAAAATGGTTCTATATAGAACCATGAACCCTTTACATGATTAAGAGTTCTTTGCATTGTGAAGGAGTTCTTCAGATTAATGGAGAATGCATTGTAGATGGTTCTATATAGCACCAAAAGGGTTCCACTATTATTACAAGCCTTTTTTTGGCACAATATTGAACTTTTTGCTAAGAGTGTAAGCGAACATTGTAATTGCAGACAAAGCTTAACAAAAGTTTTGCTGCTGAAGTCAACTTTTATGTTGACCCCTGCCCTCATCCTTCCAAGATGTCATCAAATACACTTCACTTGAGCTATTACAGTGATGGAATGGCCCTTTAGATGGCATCAGGGATTCATTCTCCCAAGGGGAAATGGTGAGGGCAAGTCAATATTAAAAACAGAATGTAAACAGAGCGTTGATTGTCTCTCTACCATCTTCTGTGAGTCTGTATCTCTGTCTGTTTATAATTCACAGCAATTTTATTTCTTTCTGCACTCTCTTTCCCTTTCATTGAGTCTCTGACCTGTGCTGGTTGTCTCTGCGTGGACTTCGACTTTGTGGCCTCCTCCTCACTATGACAGCCTCCTCTTCTTCTGGGTAAAAATTCACGCGAGGAATATCAGCTATCACCACATAGTCTTCTATCGTCATCTCTGGTACGGGGGGCTGGCTGGTAGACCTTGTGTTTTCGGAGAATATCAGTGCTTCCAGACCTCGACGTATGGTGCTCCTGCTTCTCTCTGTGCTCGGCTGGTCCGTTTCTGTGGTTTGAACCGGGGTCTTGGATGATGCCTGTTTTGGACTCGCCATTGATGGCGAGATGTTGCGAGACAACTCAGGAGAGTCAGGGCTCAGGAGAGAATGATGGGACCCATGCCAAGAGCCCTGTGATTGGCTAAGATCTGTCCTAGAATGCCTGCCAGACATGGAGGATTTTGATGAGGTGCCTCCTTTTTCAGTTCTATAATTTGTCAGTTTTTTGTCTCTGGGGGAACTATGACCATTCTTTTCGTAATCTCTCTGAGGGGGTGAGCTATCACGGCTGCTACGGCCTGTGTTATGGCCTGTGTTGCGAGCACTGTTGCGACTGTTGTACCCACTTACATGACTACTTCCTTTTTGAGAAAAATGGCTCCTGTTGTCATAGTCACTACCTGGTGGTGAGAAATCTCTGCTGTTGCAACCAGTGTTGCACCCGCTTTTTCGACTGTTACATGCACTGTTACGGCTGCTTCGTCCATTTTTGTAATAGTGGCCGTCTGAGTCCATTTTAGACTTAGATCTCTCTGTCCAACTGTTCCTTTCTTGCCGCGAATCATCGGACTCTGCTGAGCTAGCGATCGATTTTAGATTTCGATACAGCTTTTCAGAATCTAAGCTGTGTCCATAGGAACTCTGGGAGGGGCTTCGCTTGTGGGAGTGGCCTGAGGATTCTGCATATTTGTTCAAGGTTGAACTTCGAGAAGGGGAGTGCATACGTGAGTCTCGTCTTCTTGATGGACTGCATTTCCCCGACGTCTGTCTGGATGAAGCGTGAGATGTCCCATGACGTTGGGAGGTTGAGCCTCTGCGTTGGGAGGAGCTATGGGACTCTGCCTGCCTATGCGGAGAGAGGTTAGTAGACCTCGGACTACCTGAACGAGGACTTGCACGCGATTGGCTGTCGCCACGTCTGAAGTTTGAATAGGTCATGTGACGTTGTGGGGAGAGGCCACTCAGTGCCTCGTCGCCGAGCGTGTCACAGCGTCTCCTGAAGGAGGGGAGGCCCAATTCTGGGTTTCGGAAGGGAATGGTGGCCTTGCGTTCAGGGCTGCAGTTGCTGGGAAGAGGGTGCCCTCTCTCGTAGTATCGCACAGGAGCATGAGGGCTGTCGTCTCGGGGTTCTCGGTCATGTGACAAGAAACGGTTGGCTCTTTTAAAAATGGCACGGGTGCTGGTTTGCTCCCTCTCTTTTCTTGATTCTAATGGAGAAAGCGGAACGGTATTAATTGCAGTAGCAGTTAGATATTAGTACTAACTTGGTACATAATAGATGTAAGTCACCTTGAGTCAGTGCACAAAACAACTGTCTTGCCACACAGATTAATGTTTTATTGATGTGCATGCATGATGCTTACAAATATAGCAATAACGACAAACTCACAAAAGGCAAATTCATTTCTGAGTAGAGGTGTATCCTGGCTTACCTGTGCGTTGGCTGACGCTGGCCCTTCTGCTGGCGCTTCTACTGTGCGTCTCC